TTTGTCGCGAGATTTTAAAATCAGCAGCTTCTCTTGCAAGCATAGGTTGCATCTTGGTCTTCCGCTTGTGTATGGGACAGCCATATGATGCAACCTATGCTTATGATGCAGCCTATAGATGCAACCTATGCTTGCAAGAGAAGCTGCTGATTTTAAAATCTCGCGACAAAAATCTACTCAACAAAAGATCGGAAATCTTCTCGAAGTGCGTGCACCAGAAACAATTTTTAGCGGGAAATGTAGTGTGCGCGCGTGTAAGCAACATCAACAATCCTCGCGCGCGCGCGCAGTCACGCCATCAAACAACGAAAATCAAACGGTATTTGAGAACAATGTCTCCTGATGATCGCAGTGATGCGTGAAACTCGGAGTAGAGACAAAAACCATTTTAAGTAAGAATAGTAATTATATATATATATATATATATATATATATATATATATATATATATATATATATATATATATATATATATATATATATATATATATATAGTTGTGATGTTACTCTGAGTGTATATTCACACCGGACAAGCTTGAAAAATATGCCTGACCACGGTGGGAATCGAACCTACGATTTTTGGAATACTATCCCAACCGACCTGACTGCGTAGATCAGTTGCCAGAGCATTGGGCTAGTATTCCAAAGGTCGTAAGTTCGATTATCCACCTTTGTCGGGCATATTTTTCAGGCTCGCCCGGTGTGGATATACACTCAGAGTAACATCACAAACATCATATTCACCTGAGTACGCAACACCAACACAGAAAAAATCTTACTATATACAAGTTTGACGTAAACGGGATGTTCAGGTATTAAATTACGTATAGATCACATATACAGATTATATTAACAAAGTTCGGAATTTGTTTTTTACTTTATACTTAACTAAAGCATGTTAGTTATCAAATCTTGTGAATTAAGCATAAACAAACGTTAGCCAAATTCGTCTATTAACAAATTGTTCAACCTTTCAATTTCTCTATTGCATAATTCATTATTTAACAAATCAAACGTCGAGTGTTTGTACTGCACAAGAAAACAGCAGTATATATTAAGGATTTCAAGTCAGTTACTCACATACAGTCATCATGCAACTGCTCATGCAAGGACTTTCCAAATCTTCCGACAAATCCCAGTTTAATCAAAATTCATTCCTTTTACCATTTTCATGATGCACGCTCCTGTGTCATTAACTAAAGCAGCTGGACCATTTGGGTGAGAAATTAGCTTAGCGTATTCAATCCATTTGTTTGGTCCCAAATATAAACTGTTTATTTGTTTCCCAGTTTCGAAGAAACTCAGCAGGCGGTACCCTAATGTCAATGACCACGTTTTAATCATAATACATTTTGTGATATGATTTATTGCAACCGAATAAATAAATTCGTCCCCTTTGTCTTCGAATATCTTAATATTTTGTTGCAACTTCCCGTTTTTCGCGAAGATATAAACAGTTCTCTCGTCTGCGGCAATTAGATTTTTCCCATTTAAAGAGAATCGTAAATTCAACCATGTAGATTCCGTGGTAAATAATTCGGTCACATAAAATCTATTGCTGACTATAAACGAATTCAGTTCAATTTGAGCTCTTCCAATATACAGGATTTTTTTCTCGCAATCCAAGATGGCAATGTCCCCGTCCTTGTTTATTGTCATGTACGCTGCTTTCAAACAAATGTGCTGAAGAAAAGGCAATGGTGACTCGAGCTTTTTGTTTCCATTACCGTCGAACATGAACAATTTGAAACTCCAGAATTCCTCATCCGTTTCTTGGAATCTGAGTATGAAATATATGTTATCTTTGGCGTCGATATCCAATGCCATAACATGACATTCACAAAGGGACTCTTTCGCAGGAACGCCACATACCTTACGACTTTCCCCCGAAGCTTTAAAACTTTTAATAGTGCTCTCTTCCAGCATGTGTGCAACAATCTGTCCTTCGCTGTTGACAGCCGACAATGCGCGATAAATTCTACTATCAAATGTCAAATCTGGATAGGCCTGCTTAACTTCCACACCAGACTCTTCGAGTTTGTCAACAAGACGAAAATCTTTAAGTATGGGATGGTAGATTTCCTTTCCATGCAAGATTGTAGGCCAATCAAACGTCCTTGTCGGTACTTCCATGAAGTTTCTAGCAAAATTAAACAATATTTGGTTCATGACTTGAACGGAAGAGATGTTGTCAAGTCGTTTCGCTTGCTTAAACTGCGCTTTGATTCCTCCAGAAATCAAAACGGAAAACATTTCTGGAATTGCTCCGATTTCATGAAGCTGTTCAAGATACTGTAAACAATCACCTACGCTTGCATCTGGGTCGTCTAGGCTTTCTAAAATTCTGCTCAGTATTCTGATTTTAGACGCTTGAATTCTATCCTCAACGGATAGCCCTTCGTTACAGAATGCTTCGGTGGCTTTTTCTCGAGCAAGTTTGAAAGACTCTATGGCTGACTTGAAGCGTTCGTTGGAACAAATTTTGAACAAAGTGAAATCATTTATAAGAGCAATAGCTTCGTTCGTAGTCGAGTCACGACCAGTGGCTGTGGATGGCGTAGCTATGTCTAATGTCACCCGCTCGGCGCTCAGTCCTTCAGTATTCTCCCTTGCAGGTAGTGACCGAAAAAGTCGATTGATTCCTTCCTGTAGAAAACAAAGGCTGCTGAGTAAATCTTTTCTTGCTAATCCATCCAACTTACTTTTAATAGCATCAATTTTTCTGATAACCCAACGCCGTATTTCTTCGTCCGTGACGTCGCCATCCTTTAAACGCTCGTTTAAACATTTTGCTACTCTACCAGCAACTTGACTTGGAATTTGATTTGGAACTTTACTTGTCAAAATTTCAACTGTCAATTCCCAAACCTTGTTCAGTATGTCTGACATGTTGAATTCAATGATGCTGAACTCTGTTTGTCTCGAGATAGTCATAAGATCGAATTATGATGACGTTGCACAGGTTATATAAAAATTCATCTTAATATAAACAAAGACTATACTAGTAAAAGAGGTGATCATGAAAGAGTTTCCTGTTTTTAGTTAAGTCAACAATATGTTATTCAATGTTATGCGCAAATTAGAACCGTGACGTCATAACGCATGACTAGAACTTTGAACTTTTGAGTCAGGCCATTACTGATTTTACTGTTCACGCGTTGTTATTTCAAGAGGTTAAATTTCAGACAGTAAATGGTAGTTTATTAAAATTAGAAATCCATGGTTCGCCGGATATTATTTTCAATTTTAAAAAGTAATTGAAATTGGAAACGGAAATTCCTGGAAAACTAAAAACAGGAATCTCCAAAACTCGGATAACTAAAACCGAAATATCTAAAATCCGAAATGCGAAGAACGGAAGTCTTGTAAAACTGGAATATTAGCGACCTTACGATTTAGGACGGCAACGCGATGGCAAAGGCTACCAATATAATAAATCATTGAAAAAAATTGAATAATTACAATATATGAATAATGTTTACAACGCCAAGTCACAGATTTTCACGTCTTGATACAACGGCTGCATTTCAAGCCGCAACAAGTGCAACTTCAAACTGGGTTCATGGGAACTCTTCCCAACCACTTATGGTCGTAAGACTGTATTCAAATCATACGATTGATAATATACGACGAGTTATCTATACTACCTATTATTTGAAGGAGTTTGTTTTTGGCTGTCTTGGTTGCGTTGCCGTCCTAAAATTGTGAGGTCACTAATATTAAAAGCCGGAATCTCTAATACCCAGAATTACGATTAGCATATTTACATATGGATATATGGTCAAATGCGCTTTATATCAAGTAATACGCTTACCAGCTAATTAATACTTATTTAGCCTAAACATTATTGTCTTTTACGTACACCAATTACATCACTGTTATATGACTTTCCTGACTGGGTTTATCCTAACCTTCCTTGTCAACTTTCCCCGTGGGAGGAAACGGAGCACCCGGAGAAAGCTCGAGATTTTGGTAAGAGCGTTCACCGTGACTCTTATCACATGAGTTCGTAGGCGAGAAGGCGCTAAATTCCTCCAAGGAATTGAAAATACCCTTAGCAGTACATGGCCTATATAGCAACACTTCGCATAACACTATATAGGGAGAGATAAGTGATGTGCTAGCTTTGCTCCTTTGTTTACAAGTTCCACAGCTCTGCATGCTATCCGGTAATCTATTGTCTTTAAACTATTTTTAGTCAACTGCAAAGAGCTAGCTATCACTTGCTGAAAGTCACATCTGCCTAATCCTGCATTCAGGAATCTCACGTATTTTCAAACCGAACAATTATGGTCCCCAATTATTATTTCAGTGTGCATTATCTATTCTGAGCGAACGATTCAAGCAATATATAAAAAAGTAGCTGAGACAAAATCCAACTATCTTACGAGAAATATATAATTGGTCGAGTCAGGATTCGGGATTTATTGTGCTTCGCTTCCAAACATCGTTCAATAATTGCATTAAAGAAACTGGCACACCACAACAACAGGTTAATTAACACCAATAAATTACAGTGGGCCCTTTACAAAATATCAATATAAAAGTAGAAAAACAGAAATAAAGTTGTTTATTACGTTAGGTTTACTCACCGCGATCCAGCGTGTACTGGCGTATGTAATAGAGTAGGAACGTGTCAATTTGTGCATTTAAAATTATGCCTCAATTCAGATTTTTGGGATTGTGGCATCAAATGAGTTTCATACAGTACACCAGAACCCGAATCGCTCTGGACAAATCGCGATGTTCATGTAAACGCCCTATTAGTAACAGCAAGTTATATAATGGTCAGATGAGACTTCTGCTTTTATCCCATACCTGTGTTAGAAGCGGCTTTCCGATTGGTTTAGAGCAGGTGAGCTTGTCGTGGAGCTCACCTGCTTTTTGCCGAACTCACCTGCTTTTCGCCCGAATTCACCTGCTAAACTGCTTACATTGCAATAACAATAACAAATATGGCGGACAAGATTTAGCTGATAAACCTAAACTTTAAAGAACTTTTTCGGTGACTAACATACTGAGACTGGAGAAAAACCAAAGAAAAAAATGCAGTAAAGGTAATGTAGACGTAGATGAAGAAGCATTTTCTTGCCCAGTGATGTTTTTGGCCGGGAAAATGTTCACAAAACATCGACGAATATATCGCGAAGAACTACAAATGTGTGTATGGCTCGGTGTATGGGATAAAAACGAAACGTACTTGCAGGTTCGGTTAGTCCGGGATTGGACGCACCTCGGGTGGCTGGAAGTTTCCCGAACTCACCTCGCTTTGCTCGGTAAGTTCGGGAAACTTCCAGCCACCCTCGGTGCGTCCAATCCCGGACTCACCTCCCTGCAAGTACGTTTGTTATAAAGTCCGCGAATCGTCAACATTGAAGCAGGATTGTAATGCAGTTAAGTAGTATGATAATAATCCTTTCTTATTTTGAATAACAGAAAGATTATTAAGCCTTTAATGCTCTCGAAGAGAGTTCCAAGTTCTAGTTGTTCGAAGAAAGAATGATCGATTATAAGTTTTTGTTTTATGTTTTCGTTGACGGAATAAGATTGCGTTGGCATTTGTAGATGATCTTACGGCGGGAGCAATACGTTCAGGTAAGGTATTTTGAGATATCGATATACAATGCCAGTAATATCTTTGAAGAAGAATACTCAGTCTAAATATTCATGCCAATATGCGAAATAAGTCTATCTTTATAGGACAACCCACGGTCCCAGGGTCTTCCTTAACGGCGCGAGGCGAAGGAAAAACCCTGGTTTCGGCTGGTCATGTGTCACCCAGATTCTGGGTGACAAATAAAATTTATATTATGGGTAGGGTGGGAGAGGAGCGTGTTTGTCGCGTTGTAAAAATATTTGCAACTTTGTGTGATAAAATTTAAATTTGCAACAAGAAATCGTAAAGAGAACTGCAATTAAAAATTAATATTTATCGTGATGTGACTTTTTCCCTATAATCTAGTGGGGTCCAACTAAGAGCTGTGTTATGAATATGAATAAAACATCATATTAATTAAACATAATATGAATAAAACATCATAAGGTAATATATTTAAATTATTCCAATTACTCAGTGTATAAATCATAAGAGCTTGCAATTTACAGTGAACTAGATAGCTTCAAACATTGCTTCGAACGATGATTCACAACATAAACAACATAGTTTGCTGTCGTTCAAATATGGCGAATAAATTGACAAAACGAAAATATTACATGGCGTTCCAACGAAAATAGCAGCAAGGACTGCGGGCGCGCGAGCCGAAAGGCAAGGGGAGAATAAATTAATAATAATAGAAGGGATGAAACAAATATAACGTGACTTTTTAAAATGCTTCTAAACTATCCGTGTAATCTTTATGTGGGGTTTTTAGGGCTCAGTCGATGTTGTCTTACATTAACAAGCCTAGTCATTACCAAAAAAGCACTGATCATATCAATCTAATTTATGTGATTTATTACAGCGAACATTCTTAGCCGTTTTCGCGAGATGTGTTCCATAAGTAGCTTGTTCTCGTGGCGTAATGACTAAATAATAATAAAACTAAATAATGTAAAAAAACCGTTGGTCGCTACATTTAAATATTTCATATTAGCCGGTATAGCTAACATTTATTTTCATTAATTAAGCGCGTAGGCGTTGTGGGAGTTGGCAGGAAGGGTTTTGGAATTTTCCTAGGGAACAGGCTACTTATGGAACACACCAAACGATTACGTTATATTTGTTTCATCCCTTCTATTATTATTAATTTATTCTCTCCTCGCCTGATATAGGCCATGTAGATGGTGACGTCATGTTGTCATGGTAAAACGAATAGTAGCGATTGTGTGTTAAAATTACTCTTTTATATAAGAAGAAACAATGGCTTATGCAAAAAAATTGGTTTTTTTTAAAATTCAAATTGATTAAATGGGTTTTAGTTTAAAACACTGACATATATTGGAAACTGTAGGGAGGAGGGCGCTTATATACTGAGCGGTGCAACGGGAATAGGAAGAGTGATCGACGTGTGATGCAGGGCTTGGTGACGAATACGTCACGTTTAAAGGTGAATGGTTGGCTCAAGAAATTAACATTTGTCTATTCCTTGACAACCGTTGCTAGGTAGAAACAAATATGGCGGCGGCAGGGAATTCATCATCTCAACACGATTCAGCTTTATTAAACACTCATTTTTGTTTAAATGATATTGACAAAGGCGATGTTTCTTTTGCTAAAACATCTAACTCTCATGTTGACATCTCTGGTATTTGTTCAAGCATTACAGCAAAGAATTTAAAGTCGTTTTTGCAAACACTTCACCACGTATACAAGTCACCGTCAAATGAAAAGACCATTTTACAATTGGTTTCCAATGCATTGGTGGACGAAAACAAATGTGACCTTAAAGATGAGTTTTTGCAAAATATTTTACGTCTGATTGAAGATTGTTTTGTACGGGCTGAAGACGAAAAACATCCGCAAAAGAAAGCAATACGTCTTGAAAACGAATTCTTTCCCTGGGGGGCAATTCCCACCCAGGGAAAGAATTTGCCCCCCCCCCAGTAAAGCCATTTCTGCCCCCGAAGTGCGAAGCAGAATTGCTCATGATTGCTGTCAGAATTGCAATTGCTTTACTTGATAATGAGATTATGCCCTTCCATAGCCTCCTCCACACCCATCTTGTGTGTAATTTCTTCACCGAGTATTTAATAATAGCGATAGATTTCATGCAAACAATCCGATAAAATGCTGGTTCCAAGAAGAATAGATTTAGTTTAGATTTTTAACTGTTAAATACATGTATGCATCATCATAGCATGAATATTTCTTCTCAGATTTATTCTGTATCGTATGAAAAAGCAACGCAATTTTGAGAATGCAGAACTGGTGTCTCATAGAACCTAAAATGATTTAAATGCAACATTTCTGATCAAAATCACATTGGGATTTTCTCCCCCCCCCCCAGCATCACAGAGAGGAAATAAGGTGACACTGACCCCTCCTCCTATTTTTCAATGTGACTTTTCCAATTTATTTAATTCCGAGTAGAAATGTCTGGAAAAATTCATGTCTTCGATGTACTTTATAATCTTCGGAATTCTGCTAGATTTCACTCCCAAAATGCTTGAAATCGCAATTCAGGGACCCTAGATTTCAAAATTTTCCTGGGGGTGCATGCCCCCGGACCCTCCTAGACGAGGTCCCCCCCCCAAAAAAAAAAATAAGGTCTGGCTATGCCACTGGTTATAGCTGTACGATTATAGCTACAAAGAGTTCAAGTTATTGTTTAAAGTAAAATATAGCTGAAGTTAATAATTAAAGTTTTACAAAATCTCTCTTCAGACTCGCGCGAGTCGGGCGCATATTTTTCGTTCTGCCTTTTTTTCCTGTTTTGCCCCCCCCCCCCAGTGAAAATTCCTTAAAAAAAGCCACTGTTGTGATGACAGTGAGTTTGCGAGTATCAAAGATCATGCTGGTTGGGTGATCAAGCGGGCGAGGGAAACGATTTCAAAGGTGAAAGTGACAGCTTGAAAGTAATGGAGACGGAGGGTGGGCCAAGCGTTGTCTGTGGAGAGAAACATAAAGCACTGGAACTGATTTCTACATTGGGGAGAGATTTTAAGCAAGCTGATGGGAAGTTTAGATTTATTGTTTATGAACATATTGTTCCATTTTTTCTGTTTTTACATAACCTTATAGAGAGTATTATAACCCCCAATATCGCACTTCAGAAAGGAAACATTTTAATTTATGGCTTAGAAAAACTGGCTGCAAATAAGGTGCTAAGAGAAAAATGGAAAGATCTAACATCTCTGCCATCTAATGCAACATCCGTTGTTGTCCTCCAACGGATTGTAACTTTTTCCCTAAAATCAAAACAGCAAATGATTCGCGAAAAAAGAGGGCTTAAACCCAATAAAAATAGCATGGCAATACCTCAACAACTGCGGCATACGACATCATCATCTGGTAAGCCAAAATGCAAAGAAATTATTCAATTGAGGTCTGGAAGTATGTCATCTGACAACATCAGAAGTTTCTTGCAGTCACTGTCTACCTATCCTTATTCAAATCGAGAAGCAATGTTAGCAGAACTGCAGAGCAAAGAGCTGGCTAAAATATTAAAATCATTAGGGAAGCCAACATTTTTGGGTAAGAGAAAAAGTAAGCAGATTGAGTCATTGCTACAGGCCATAGAAAAATAATTTATATAAATTTTACCAAAACAAACTTGAACCAGAACATAATTTTACAACACCTCACTTGATAATCTCTTCTTTTGGTTAAATTAATGAATAATTATGCTTAAGTGTCTGCAGAAAGTTTCCACAGATGTCAATTGAGAATCAACAAGAGATCACAATTGACAATAGTATATATAGACCTTATTGGGAACTGAAACAATTCAGAAAACAGAAATGATCATTTCAAAATTTGAATTTATTATTAATTAAATAATCCAAAAACTATACAATTATTTTGAACATTTGAATATATTAAAATATACAGGTAGTTCTATTATGAACCTGTACCAGTCAAATCAAAGCATAACTCAGCCTCCATATAGTAGCACAAAAAAAAAATCATTGGTTCATTAATTCTAGATTAAGGGACTGGTCATAATTTAGCAGGGTGGGGAGGTGGAAATAGTTGGAGGGCGGTCACATAAAGGGGGGGGAGTCATAAAATACTAGACAGTTTATGAAGGCGGGGAGGGGGTCTGCTGTTTTAGTTGAATTTATTGTTTTATACATGCCTTCTCACATTTTGCTTGAGTTGCATTGAAAAAAATTGTATGACTATGTCTTGGTTTATAAATTTTAGTATTTGATTTAAAGTGCAACTAGAAAATTAGAAAATTTAAAGTGCAATTAGAAAATTTATTGAATGCAGAGTTTAGTAGTAGGTAGTTACATTTTACTGACAGGAGCAAGAGAGAGAGGGGGGGGGGGCATTATTTTTCCGGGTTATGGCAAAGCAGGGTCACAAAATATCATTCCTTAAAATTTTGAATTACACCTCCCCCCCCTAATAAATTATGACCAGTCCCTAATAGAGTATGTTGGCTGACTATTTTTTTAGCTTCACCATATAAGCACTAGCTGCCTTCAGATGATATGCTTGGATTTGATTTAATTAACAATGCAATATACTTACATTAATTAAAGTTTCATTAACCCATTAAGCGCCAACGCTTTCCCTTTGTAAAATCGTCTGGTATTGGACAGAGTAACATAATAAAGTTAGTAGGGACCATCAGGGCACAATGTGGTACATTGCCACTTAAAGGGTTAACCCATGAGTCCCACTTTATTATCGAATGCCAGACAATTTAATTTGCCGGGGGGGGGGGGGTGCTGCCACTCAGGGGGTTAATCAGACATATAAGTTCAAATTGAGTCTTGCACTTTAACTGGTGTGTTTAATTTATTCATTCAAACTTTTTGAAGATGCTGTAAAGTCTGTTCTG